CACACCTACTTCGCGCTTTGTTTGTATAGTTTGAATCATGTCTTCTTGTGAGCCAGGTCGTACTAGAGCTTATTCCAATGACATGAGATGGCGAATTGTATGGCTAAAGTTATCAGAAGAACTGTCATCTAGGCAAATTGCAAAAAGATTGTGCATTGGATTAGGTACAGTTAGTAGAACCATTGAAATATTTCGGCAAACAGAAGATGTTGAAAAGAGAAGAATTACTAGTAGGCCTCATATTCGTGTTTTGACCGACTACCATGAGTTTTTCATCCTTGGACTTCTCATGGACCATCCAGCATTGCAGCTAGAGGAGTTATGCCACATTATTAAAGAGGCAACAAATGTTAATGTATCACCACCAACTATTTGCCGATTGCTAAAGAGGTATGGATACACAAGAAAAATTATCAGGAGGATAGCCTTACAGAGGTCTGTAGCTGTGAGATCACTGTATTTAGCTCAAAGCTACATGTATGACTCTAGATGTTTCATTTGGCTGGACGAAACGGGAAATGACCGCCGCAACTTTCTTCGCAAATATGGGTATGCATTAAGAGGTGAACGTGCTACTAAACACACATTTCTATCAAGAGGAAAAAGAGTCAATGCAATTTTAGGTCTTTCCTTAACTGGAATCGTTACAAGATTACTACATGAAGGAACATTAGATGGCAACAAATTTTATGACTTTGTTCGAGGTGATCTACTCCCCCAGTTACATTCATTTGATGGTGAAGCTGTCAATTCTATAGTCATAATGGACAACTGTGCAGTACACCACTGCTCAGAAATAACAGCATTACTACATGACTGTGGCATTGTAACTATATACCTTCCACCATACAGTCCAGACCTTAATCCTGTAGAAGAGGCATTTAGCTACATAAAATCATATCTTAAATTACATGAAGATGTACTAGAAGCCACAAATGACCCTGTACCAATAATAAATGAAGCCATAAACAGTATTACAAGTAATATGTGTAAACAATGGATTGCCCATTCTGGGTATGAAATACATAAAGAATAATTACAATTGTGTAATGTCAGTCATTATTTTAGCATGCAGTTCATCATACTGTTGTTGTGTAATAACATTTTTGGCTAACAAATCATGCCACTTTTGTAGCTGTTCCATACATTGTGAACGTAGTTCTATTCTATTCCTCTTTGGAGACGCATTATTGCCTCTACTCTCTTTAGCAATTTGTTTCTTCTTAAAAAATGGCTTATCAGGTGGTTCCTCATATGAATGATGCTTCTTCAGTTGTAACATGTGAGCCCAAGCACGCAGTTGTTCCACACTGAAACTTCCAGATTGTCCATGTTTCTCTGTTAAGGCTGAAACAATTTCATCCACTTCACTAATTTTCTTCACTAACAATTCTGCTTTGTCGGATGTCGCCTCTTCTTTTCGACATGGCCGTTTTGACGGTGGTTGTTGATCTTGTTCTTTTTCATACCCTTTATGGCACCATATCATAATTTCTCTTTTATCTCCACATTCCTTGTACATATTAGCAACATCTGAATCATTATTTAACCACATCTGTCTCCCTTTTGCACCATGACCCGGCAAAATATATCCAACCTGATTATCAACACTCTCATATTCTGAACTCAATTCATCGTGAAAAACAGCCTTCAGGTGTCTTAAGCTCTGGAAGTGACCTTTGAAGTTTAGTTTATGAATAGAATATTCGCTTTTCTTCTTATAATTAATTGACTTCAATGAGTAATGAATTAATGGAGTCACTAACTGGGTACTGCCAGTATAACAAACTGTACCGGCATTAAACTATAAGGAAATAATATAACACTCAAACTCAAAAGCCACTTACTTGTATAAGAGGCGTTTGCTCTCCAATATGACTGCCAATAATAACAGTTAAGTGATGGCTGGTGGTGGGTGTGGTCAGATCCATCCACTGCTGCTGCTGAGGGCAACTGGCACTTCCAGAGGCAGGGCAATAATCATGATCGGATATTGAATGAGAGTTCATTCTCTCTCAACACTATTTAGTCTTTATTGTGATTCCTGACACTTAATCATGCACAACCACAAGGGCACAAGTAGCGTAAGGCGTGGTAGTGTAGGCGGAGACAAGGTAAGCATAATGGGTGGGGCCCACAACGGAATTCCGTAGGATCGATCCAAGTGAAGTGAAAGACGCTGTACCAAAATCAAAATAACCGTTTTGTGATGTTCTGTAGATAGTCTACTAAAATCAATAATACTAATGTAACTACCAAAGCTATTACTAAAGCTACATGCATGTGAAATTCTCATACATGTAGCTTTGGTAGCATCTAATGTATATAGCTACTTTTATAGCTCTCCCACAGGTTTTTCAAAAATTAAATAGAGAATTAACAACTAAAAAACCTTAGCAACTAATGGTTGCAAACCAAACCCCCATGCCTCTGAGGCAAAATTGGTGTAGCCATGGCAAGCAAAATGGTGGCATTCAAAAAAGATAATGTTTTGAACTTTCTAACAACATGATAAGACAAAAATACTGTGTAATAACTACAGAAATATTACAAAGTGAAGAGAATCTCTAGAAGTCTCTAAATAGCGACCTAATTAATAGTCAGTTATACCCTTGTAACTTAGTCACTGAA